TTGAACCCATGTAAACTTCTAGTACGCTACAACATCCTATGGCAGGGAAATCTGCCCTTTGACAAGATGTTGTGTGAAGAACAACCTCCTTTTGTTTTTTTCTGAACCTGCCCACAGCTGGTTTCATGTAATATCCCCACGGTTTTGCAGCAGAAGAGAAAATAAACCAGTTCTTGCCACACACGATTTTGTAGACACCTGCCCTGTTCTCGCCCACATTCTGTGAGGGAGGTGGACGGGGCATATTCTCCCCCTGCGTTCAGGAGATGGAGCTGTCTTCCTTTCACAGAGAAGCACAAGGACTCAAATCTTAGGAATTTAACAAAAATGCCTGTGGTCACACTTCAGCTGACTAGCACGCCTGCTTCTCGGAGAGGTTTGCCATGTTTAAGGCCCTGCATTAGGAATGGGGTCAAAGTACTCTTCTGACTTTGTTCTCTTGAAGTCAGAAGTCGGGCAGCCGGTACAGCTGGAATCCAGTGTGACCAGGCCAAAAGAGCAATGCCTCCAGTGGCAAGTTTCCTTGTAAGTTCACAGCACATGTGTTTTGGCAGGGGGGGGAAAAAAAAGGAGAGAGAAAATATTCTTCCCACATAAATCTTTGGATTTATGAAATGCCACTGGATGGTGCTCCACCTTAAGTCTTTCATTCTTCTCTTCACGTTTTTCTTGCGCTTCTGCAAGGCAGGCGGCAGGTGAGTCCCCTCTGTGGTACACGTCCCGTTCTGCTCTCCGTCCCCTGGGAGGACACGTCTGCCACAACCTCAAATTAGAGACTTGTGTGCTGTGACTCTGCAACCCGGACATGACACTGGGCCCAGCATCTACCGGTGAAGGCCTACAGCTTGCTGGGTTGTCACCTACGGAAAGCCAAGAGTTGGAGCCCTGGCTGCTGTTATTATTATCATTAAGCAGGACAAGGTTTGTAGGAAGACTTAACAACTTTTATTGCACCAGGAAGCGTAGCTGCAAAAATCAGACACGCAAGCTCGGGAGTAATTGCTCTCCGTTGCACGGGGCTGCAGAGGTCAGACAGCCCTGAATGAATGGGATGGCACCCCCGAGCCGAGGCACCGCTAGCCGGGGGGAACGTCGGGTGCGCTAATAAATGAGATCAGACTTTTCCAGCTGCAGAGCTTGTCCTGCCAGTTGGTGTCCTTGACGGTCAGGGCCCCAGCCCACCAGCACTGGAGCGCTCTGATGAGCAATTGATTTCTCTCTCTGCAGTAACGCACTGCCCGTTTCCTTCTCTTCCCGCTCCTGCTCTTGGCCTGTTGGCCGACCCGCTCCCCTCCTTGCCCCCCCGGGACACCCTGACCGACCCTCGCCCCC